CTTTCAAAGATTTGACTAAGGGCTATTTACCTAAATGCTTATCCGGTAAGTGCTTACCGTTATAAGACAACACTATAATTTATTTTTTAGGTAAGATTGTACTATATCAAAATGGTATCGTATGCAACAATATATATGGTAAACGTTTACTCGGGTCAGCCTCAATAACGAGGTAAAACTCTCTATCCTTATCATCGCTCTTACCAGATAAGATTCTTGGGCCTTCCCATGTTCGTCCGATGAGGAAAATTGTCCGATAAACACCTACCGGATAAGCGTTTAGTAAACAGCCCCTAAACCATAGAAACCAAAATTAGAGTTTAGTCTACAACTCATTTTAATTGTAAATTAAATATTTATAATTTCCATAAAAACAATAAAATGAAAATAATGTAGCAAAATAGTGATCGCAATACAAAGTTTAAAAGGTATTTGATTGTTAAACATATTTATTTTTTCAAGTGGGAAGTGTTATTATTAATATTTGAAATAATTTTTTGATTATGGCCCCACGCTTTACTAATTCATCATCTTATGATATAATACAAAATGAAATATAATTGTTTGGTATAAATGGTTAAGGGAGGTTTAGGATACAAAATCATTCAGAAAGTTTAAGAAACATTAAAAGATGGATTTTTTTTTTTTTGCCAAACAAGATTCACTTTTTAACGATTCAGAAATTGACTCTTAATGAAACTATTAAGAGATAAACAAACAACCCTTTATCTTACATGATTTTTTGATTTAATTTGTAACAGAGTCATTCATATATACTACAAGGATACTTGTATAATTCAACAAGATACATCTTGATTTTTAGTGTTTCGTTTTTTTTTTTGCTTAAGTCGATGTTATAATACGGTTTTATGTGGTTTTGAGAAAACAATAATGTTTTTATTTTTGAATAAATATAAATATGAAGATATCATAAAAAATTGAATTTTTTTATATTAGTACAAACTAACTCTTTAAAATTTCTCGTTTTTTGTGTATTTCTTTAACTCATTTTTTATTTTTGGTTTAATAATATAATTTTTTATAAAGATAATAATTAAATATTTTGTTAAAACCTAATTAGTATCCTAATTATATTTTAGATTTTTTATATTTAAAATAAGATATTTATCCTCTATTTTATTATGTTTATCTACAGTTGGTTAAACGAATTCAAACATGAAGTTTTAATAAGTTATACTTACACACAATTTACTTGTAATCTTGAATTTCAAGTAATATGTATCAATAAACAGTACTTCATGCATAAAAAATGTTTTTAAGAAGTTTTTGTCAAATGTTTTATAATATACTATGTATAATATTATATAATATATTTTTTTAAATTCATAACCTCCTAATTTACTAAAAAAATGGCTTTTTTTTATTAATTTGGATATTCAACCCGCTATGCGAGTCGACTAATCCCAGAACGATCATCTGCTTTGCAGATAGTCCGGAGTCACCGCATTTGAACCTCCGTGGCCACAAGAGGATTTTTATTCCTCATTGAATTTGAACCTGAGAACTCCTGGTACTTTTAATCTTTGGAGCTAAACTCAAACCAATCATGCACCATATTTGTGGTTAAAAATGGCTTATTTTTATTAAAACCGATGGTTTTAATTAAAATTTTATATACCTAAATATCTCTTTCTACAAGTTAAAAATATTATAGCTTTAAAACCAAGCAATATGAATGTTTTTTATAATTACAGGACTAACTTTGCAAAAAAAATATTAAAATCGTAAAGATTAAATCTCAAGCAATTTTTTTAAGAGAAGACACTGAAAACTACATTTTTTTCATTTAAAAACTTAGGGGCCGTTTATTAAACACTTACATGGTAAGTGCTTACCGGATAAATTTTCTTATCGGATGAACATGAGAAGGACCAAGAATCTTACCGGACAAGAGCAATGAAATAATAGAGAATCTTTCGGTATTATTATAAAACATTTAGTAAAAAAATTGAAAACAATTTATTATACGTTATTAAAATTTCAAATTTACAACTTATTAATGTAGAATCAAGTTCGCACAACAACGATAACCAAATAAGATAATAAGAAAACGGTTGAATTACATGTGATTTTATACTGTATAAAATCACATGTAAAATCATATATGATTCATGTGACTTTGACTGGGACCTGACGTCATGAGTCACGCTGCTCACACACCTTTTTGGCCGTCAGTGTAAAATCATATACGATTTTTCAAATGATTCGATCATTTTCATGTTCTATCGAATAAATTTTCTTATCGAATGAAGATGAGAATGGCCAAGAAATTTTATCGGGTAAGAGCAATGAAAAAGATAGAGAGTCTTATCCGGTAAGTAATGATGACGACTTTTACTCAGGTAAGCACTTACCCAGTAACTTGTTGCATTCAATATGTTTTGATATATTAAAATCATACGTATCAAAATAAATTATAATGTTAAATTCTATCGGTAAGCACTTATCGGGTGAGTATTTAGATAATCTGCCCCTTAGTAATTCTTAATAATAATATTTTGTTATATTTTTTTTATTAAATTGTATTTTAAAATGTTTAAACAATTATATGTTTTAATTTTATTGAATCACAAAGGAAAATGTTGTCATTTTAGTAGAAGAAATCCAAATTTAACCAATCAAAATGAATTTAGGTTTAAAAATAGACAAAAAGACTGGTTTAGAAAATTATGGTTTTATTTAAATAATTTGTTCTACGTATTATCTATACTATATTATAAAGCATTTGATAAAAACTCTAAAAAACTACTTATTATGCATAAGGTATTATTTATTAATGCATATTTACTTAAAACTCAAGATTGCAAATAGATTGTGCGTAAGTACAACTTATTAAAGCTGCATAACTGAATTCGTGTAACTAATTGCAGATAAACATAATCAAATATATGATAAACATCTCATTTTAAATATAAAAAATCTAAAATATAATTAGGATAATCATTGAATTCAAACAGAATACTTAATTATTATCTTTATAAAATTTAT